GGATTGAGATATGAGTTGAGGAGGGTGGTGGTGCCTATGTCCATCACTGAGTTCCCAGCCTTAGTGGAGAAGGCGAAGGTGGTGGAGCGGTTGGAAGGTGGTAACCGTGCTGTGAGGACTACTGGGGGGCCATCTGGGTCCAAGAAGGGTGAGAGTCAGAGGAAGCCGTATGACAGGCCCCAGTCTCAGCAAGGGGTTCTGTTGCTCGGCAATCTTTCAGTGCTGCTAGTGGAGGTAGACAGAGTGAAGGTGCCACTCTGAGATGTTTCAGGTGTGCTGGGCCCCACTTTGTCAGGGACTGCCCGCACACGGAGAGCCGTTGCTTCAGATGTCATCAAATAGGCCACGAGTCAGCCAACTGCCCTGCTAGGGGCAGACCAGAGAGGAGTACTCCGAGGGGTGATGTGCAGAGAGCTGATACTCAGAGGGGTGACAGACCCACTACTGCTGGTAGAGTATTTGCCTTGACAGGTGTTGAGGCCTCGACTTCTTCTGATCTCGTGAAGGGGAAGGGCAAAGCTGCATATCTGTAAATTATTTTTTGCAAATAATTTTGCAAAAGATTTCTGTGAATATTTTTTTGCAGGAAAATTTGTAAAAAATTTCTGCAAATATTTTTTTTGCAAGAAAATTCGCAAAAAAATTTTACAAATAGTTTTTTAATAGAAAAATTCGCAAAAAAAATAACATTTTTATAGTAGTGTAGTAAGTAATCATGTGAACATATAATTGCTATATATAAGACTGAATAGAAAAATTGCACATGTTATGTGATTTGATATTTAATAAAGTATCCATAGAATTCAATGGTCTAATCGGTTACAACACATCATCATTTAATAGAAAAGACTTAACTCCAAAAACTAATTTATGACAAAAAAATTAATGAAGAATTACAAGTTAACAAAACATTTAACAAATATTAAAAATTGAATTCTTAAAATGTTAAAATGTTGAAGGAGTAAATCTATTTAACCTAAAGAAATTGTACTTGTCATGATGTTATCATAATCTTTTTATTTTCAAAATCTCATAATTTAAATTTAAACATTTGCACTATGATTGATAGAGACTAAAGAAATAAAAAAAAAAGTGAATGGAAATAGGTTAAAGATGAAAGAAAATAAGAAAGTTTAGTTTAAAATAAATAAAATAAATATTTTTAAAAATAATAAAATAGTTAATTAATAATTTTGATTTAATCGGTTAATTATTTTTTAATTTAATCAATTACAAAAAA